TAGCACAGGCCAAGGCATCCGCGCTCCGCACACCTGCAAGTTCAGACTCGCCCCAGCATCCGCGCGCTCATTGGCTTCCGCTTCGTGACGTCGACTCCCCCTCGCCTCTGCCCTTCACTACTTTCCTCCTCTCTACGCGGATCGCTTCGCTTTCCACTGTTTTTTCACATACGAACGCCGTCAGCTTTTGCCTTTCATGTGGGTACTAATGCTAACGCAGTAAAAACGAAACCAGTTTGTTTTAGTGTATTTGCATTGAGCTGACGAAGATAGATAGCCTAAAATATATTTTTTTTCTGGACACTCGGGAGTACGTGAGGGGTGTCTCCTAGCAAACTCTCTCGACAAAACACTTAAAAAAATACGCTTTCAAAGCAAGTTTGTCTTATTTATTTTCCATCGTTATCATTCCACAACCTCTGTCTCGTTATTGGTGTCCAACGTGGACCTTCTGCCCATACGTGCCAGGATGATGTTGACTCGAATGAGATCATTTTTAAATTGCGACAAGATCATTACTTCATTGATATTTAGAAATACGTTACGTATGCACACTTGGTTAACGCCATTCGAACGAAACAGAAAATAATTATTGTGCCTCGTCGCTTTAACGCGGACACTTTTAGAACTTGTGTTATTGTTCTTGTAAATGTATCGACGAATGGAACTGCCTGTTCCCAAATGCCGTAAATGGTGAAAAAATATGTGGTTCTCTCGATAACACTTTTTATACCTAGGTGATCTTGTTAATTTAAAATGCCTACCAACATGTTTGGCCTCACGGCTTTTGGTATATTAAAAAAAATTAATGTATATAAATATATTAAAACTAAAAAGAACGACTTGGTGAAACCCGCAAGGGTTTCACCAAGTCGTTAAACGAAAAAGAAAAAAAAATTATAACTCAGGTTTTCGTTTCTTCCGCCTTTTGTTCTAGTTAACTTAAACCTTATAAAAGGTTAGTATCAAACGCTTTTAAATACGATTTTAAACGTTTTGTTACGTGGTCAACATTGATCAACATTTATTTTTTCTTGGATAGATTTTTGACCTGTAATGAAAGTCAGGTAACGTATCCATCACATCCACCATGTGCCTTAATTTTTAATGAACGTCCATTCAAATACGCGATGCCCTTTTAATATATTACGTCGTGTTGAATCCAACATAGGCACGACGCTTAGGAGAGTTTCGTAGCCATGATTACTTGCAAACATTTAGGTGCATTATAATATTTGTTAATATGCATTTAAGCCCTTCTTATACCCCTACCACGCGGTAAAATTTCATGTCAGTTCCATTGACTTACATTATCCGATCCGCCAATCAGCGAGAGCCACACCTAGCCCAGCGCGGCGCACGCGCGATGCTTGCAGACAGGATCGCGAGCTGATTTTACGATCACTTATTGTTGGTCCATGGAACTGACAACCAATTATACCATGTGGCAGGGCTATATGCCATGAGAGACTGAGGGAGAGGAGGAGGCGAGAGCGCGTGGGTACGGTCACAACGCTGAGCTCTACAGTCGGTGACAGGTAAAGAACGAAGTGGAAGTGGAGCGAACGGTGGAGCGAACGGTGGAGCGAACGGTGGAGAGGAGTTCGTCTCCTCTCCAGCGTTTGCTGTACTAAAGTGGAAAGAGGTGGGAGGAGCTTCCATTTCGTTCTTCACATGTCCCCGACTATAGTTGAAACGATTATGGTGGGTATGAGCCCCGAGAAGATGGGGTGGCGCCACCTGACGGCTGGTCCTCGTGGCGTAGTTGTAAGGATCTTGTGACCGCGTTTGCCCTTCGTTCCTAGCATGTATATAGGTGGAGGTCTATCGCTCACAATTCATGTTTCATTCGCTATTTTAATCGAGAGATTGCGGTTGCTTTTGACCTAATCTTTTCATAGTACTTCTCAAATTTAAACTCAAGCAGTGCGACAACAGTGGCGTTGGAGCTTACGGAACTGAACCGATCCACCCGGCTTTGTGTCATCGTACTGACCACGATCACAGGGGGTCGTGGTCGTGGTTTCGGAGGATTATTGACCAAACGGTTTGATTTTTTTTACGGCATGGTTTTCGGGGCGTGTTTTCTTTTTTTCAAGCCTGTCGGAAATTTGACAGTGCAAACAGAAATGAATCGCGATGACGGCCCAGGGGAGTCGAACTTGGCATTCCGATCGCCGGTTTTTTCGCAGCTTGCTTGCACGGCTTCGAGGTGGAATTTCTTCAGTGAAAGCTAATCGTGTGATGAAATATCAGGCATGCGAGGCGTCACCATGGCATTACCTTTGGCAGTAACTTTTGGGGCTCGATATTTCTACGTTCGGCAAAGGAAGTGTTAATCCGGTATCCCGTAAGTAGCGTAGCTACCGAGATATGCTCTAGCTCAATCTGTGTTAACGTTAGTACCACCGTCACCTCGGAATAAATGGAACAGCGAAAAAATAAATTGTACGTACCACACGTTGCGAGGGTAATCCATACCGTTTTTTATTTTAGTTGTACGTCAAAGAAAGCAGCAAATAGAATCGACGAGTGTGCCACTGCGACGAGAGCGGCTGCTACCGGCGCACAACAATTCGAAAATCACAAGGGGATGACGAAAATATAAGACTCACCTTCAAACCGGAACATCTAGGCCAAGGTTCGATCGATTTATGACAACAAAGTTCGCTTAAAAAAAGGAAAAAGATGTCGCTCTATCATATTTTTTAGTTGGTCGGTGGCAGCGAGGGACGAGCTCCTCTTGCCTTTTGAGTACGGCTACGGCCGCCGAAGTCGGTGGGGTCGTTGTCGTTGCTTCCGAAATGCGTCGATCGAGCGGTCTTCACCGAGCATTGTAGTTTCGAGTAGGTATTTCTTTCCTTTGCTCCTTGAAGTCGGGAAGCGCGAGAAGAGCATGAAGAAGTATGCCCGTTGTTCAGTCACCAGGGCGAAATACCCGAGAGGTTTTGGCGGCCATGAAGCTGTCGTAGGATTCCATCCATGACCTACACATAACTTCCGATCGTTTCGCTTGGTGAATTCAGATTTGATGTTAGGTTTTTTCGTACTCACGTTTTCCATCACAGCAAAAACAAAATAAACCTAGCAAACGGTTTTTGCTTCTACGCGTTAAACCAAAGCAAAGCAAGGCGAAGGAAATACCTGACCCCGCCACGTGATCCTTGACTCTATGTCACCATCGAGCGATCGCAGCACTCCAATCGGTCACGCTCGGGGCTAATAGCGCCAAGCTGGCTGCCTTTATGTCTACTCACCCCTCGAAGGCATGCGACTGCCGAACGCCGGGGTCCTGCAATCGGCATTCGCGCTCGAACGCTTTTGAAGTGTGAGTATAGGGCCAAAGGCTCTATACTCACACTTCAGTGGGTAGACGCGTCTACCCATTGATCATATCATCCAGAGCTTGGCGTTCTGATGTCTCCTCTCGTCTCCTACTCTCCCCCAGTTTCTACCCGCCTAAACTACAGAATGCAGCTTTGGCTTCCAGGTTGACGGTAGCGTTAGGAACGTTGAAACGTTAGTGAAAGTTTGTGTTTGTAACGCGCGAAACCACACGGCCAAGCAAATCATGTTTTTCGCAATAGAAAAAAAAAAATGGTTGCAAAAGCTGGCATTTTCACCAAATATAAATTTAGCGGCTTGGATAAGGTGCCGAAGCTTCAGAACGTGAGATTACCGGTACCAAAAAATAAAGGGAATTAAAAAAAAATATAGGCAAAATTGCGGTCAGTGCGCAAGACCTGGAGACGAATGGCGGCTGAATATAAAAGGTTGCCATTTTGTCACTGAAATTTCCCGAAAACTACTTTTCTATTTTGAATTTAATGAGTTCTCATGTTTGCATCTTGTTCCTATCGTTATCGCTATGTGTGGCGTTTATTTTTGTGGTGCAAAAACAAGGTTGGGGCCGACACACTGCCGACACCAGGTACACCCACTTAGAAATCAGAATCATGATGGTATTGTAAAGTATTATTACTGTCTTTTTTTTTTATTTAACACGGAAGTTTTTCGGACTTTACCATGAAAGCATTTCAGTGAGTACCTGGCTTATAAATAAATGGAAACGAATGAAAAAATATTCAGGTGAAACGGTTGCGGGCTCAATATTAATTATATAGGAGAAGGAAGTTCATCTAAGAACCAAACGTAAAATGTGTAAAAAGATATACGATACGATTTACAAAAATGATAATAATGTTTCTAGATTGTGTAGTAATGATGTGTTTTATGTGACCTCACATTAACAAAGACGTCGTGAAACCGAACAACACTTCAATAAGTAAATGACAGGCAATTGATTTCGTTGAACTCTTTCTTGATGATTAAGGGTTTGCAATTGAAAGGAAGAAAAATTAGACCTTTGACCTAGCCGGCTACTATGTGCCGCGAGTAAGAGCAGTGGAAAGAAAAACCAAAGCAATTAGAAATCAGAAGGAAAGTATTTCGATAAATGTATGACGTACCGGTGTGATAAAGCCTCCCATCACTCCCATTCAAAAATAAATATTTTTAAAGGTGATGCTACCTGAAAGTCGCATCTCACATGTTGCCTTCGTACCCATAAATTACAATTAGCGCTACTTAACTTAGTTGAAAAGCATACTTTTCGCACTTATCACTGCATAGACTGTCAGGGTGTCTTTGGACATTTACGCTGACTGCTAGATTAAATTCGACCTCCTGGACAGTGGGCTCTGATCACTTGGATCTTTGTGTGTCATCTAATAGGGGTGTGAAAAAGAATAGCCATGTGTCGTTCGTAACGTTCGCAGTTTCAAAAAAAAAAAAAAAAAACCCACAGCATACTGGCTTTATTTTTGTTGTAGCTAAATAGGACGCTGCGCCGTTTGATTCGATGAAGCATTCGCAGAGCCCTACTGAAAATGACATACACTAATCACGTTATACGATTGTAAGCTAATGTACGCGCTCATTAATTATGTCCATCTCTCGGGCCTTTCTTCTCTCGTGCATGTCATCATCGCTGACATCAGCAGCAGCAGCAACAGCAGCTGCAGCAACAACAGCAACAGCAGCATCAACATCAGCAGCAGCAACAGCAGCAGCAGGCTCCAAACAGGAGAATGGGGCTGTTGTGTTCCAACTGTGGCACGTCCACCACCACCCTCTGGCGGAGAAACAACCAGGGGGAGCCAGTCTGCAACGCCTGCGGACTCTACTTCAAGCTGCATAATGTAAGGGAAAGGAAACTTCAATGCCGTATCAGGACCTTACCGCTGCTCCTCTCCGGTGCGAAAATGTTTCGAATAATCAGAAGTTGCGTCCTTGTGTATACTGATTCTAATGCCTGAATCACGTGGTACAATTTTACTTGCGATCTCAGAATAACAACATAACTTGGGCGCAAAAAAAAAAAAAATATTGCTGAGGTGAGAGGATTGCAGGCTGCCCCTATGCACTCTAAAAAAAGACTGTGTCTCTACTTTCACGCACAACACTCGGAGAGCCAATCACCGCAACTTACGGAGGCAGCTCAGCGAATGACGATGCAGAAACATATGTTTAGACCAAAAAACGCAGACTGAGTTGTGACATTAAGCAATGCAAGCGTGACGTTTTGCATTGCTTAATATCACAACTCAGACTGCGTTTTTTGGTCTAAACATATGTTTCTGCATCGTCATTCGCTGAGCTGCCTCCGTAAGTTGCGGTGATTGGCTCTCCGATTGTTGTGCGTGACAGTAGATGCACAGACATTTTTTAGAGTGTACAGCTCTCTTTCACTTAAGTCCGACCGCAGCTGGTACGCTACGATCTTATGCAGCCATTCAAACAGCGCCAAAAGTGCATCGTCACGGTGCGCGCGCGTGTCGTCTTCGTGCGTTTGATATTACTTACTGTGAACCAATCGCACACAGAATAAAGCGCAGAACTTTGCATCGCTTAACACCCGGGCGAAAAATGCCGAGTCACTTAGATGTGGACGCATGCGCAGCTCCTGATACACCGCACAGCAGAGCAAAAGCGCATGCTCAGAAGGCTTTCCAGAACCCAGCAGACAAAGATGGCAGCGCGCAGAAGGCGATTGTTGCAAAGGTCTAGAGCGATGGCTGCGGTCGGCCATGGTGTGCAACGGAGCATGGCCAAAGTTGGAATCAAAGGAAGAGCCCTTGGTGCGTTTGAAGGGAAGCTACACCGACGTTTGAGAGCCTCTGATTTGACTGAAGTTTCACCCACCGATTTGATATTACTTTAGAAACTACCAGCCGAAAGAGTTCTGCTTGCGCTCGCGCACAGGCCTTGGGAGCCCATAAAGGCCGTGCACACGGTTGATAGGGTTCCGCGTTTTAAACAGACTCGGAAAGCTTTGTGAGACAAAATCACACTTGACTACCATTGGCAGACAGGCGCCGAGCGAGCAGTCATCGCCACCCTCGAAATAACGTTTAATCGCTAGGGTAAAACAAAAAAAAAAAAAAACAAAAAAAAAAAACCGCGCATCAAATTTGAATTTTTTAAAAATTGTCTACAGGATTAAATCTAGGCGAAACAAATGGTATTTTAAGATATATATATATATAAAGAAACACCAGCTTTTTAGGAGGGTAATTATAACTTGGTCCTGCTCTCGTTTTGACTTTCTCATTTAAACCTTCTAAAAAAGGACCATTCTCGAAACGTCCTTCTCGGTTTGGTCCACCTCATTGGATCCGTTCTCGTGACATCCTTTGCGTTTGTTTCCCCCAAGAAATAAAAAAGTAAAAAGGGGGGGGGGGGGGGACTTCGAGGTTTCGATCGGTGTTATGGCTTGGTGGTCACTGCATAAACCCGGAGAAGCTTCTTGGAGTCCGCACCTCCCCACTCCCAACTCGCCTACACGGACGTGCATACGTATACAGGCACAGGTGCTTTGGTCCCGTGGTTTGGCTAATGGTTCCTGGAATACGTTCGCTCTGCTCTTGAGAAGCATGCAGCATAGGTCAGGGCGCGCTCGTTGGGTTGTCTGGAAGTGGTCGCAGGCGCTGGACATTAAAACCCCAAACTGAGCCTTTGTGCCAAAAGCGCGGCCTTGGTAAGTCCCCCCCCCCCCCCCCCCCCCCCCCCTTTTCTTTTCCCGGGCCGCGGAAGAGAGCACCCGGGGCGGTTCCTTCAAACTCTCGATCAAGTGAGACGCTAGATAAAGCCCAACGCTCTTACGAGTAAGTTTGACATAATAGTAAGCTACGTTTGAAACCGAGTACGTGTACTATGAAGTAAGTTCATTGCCAAGCATCTGTGTTTTGGTTTCTTTTTTGTCTAGCTCAGGAGCCATTTCTCAAGCGCACTCAGCCATTTGTCCCGGGCGTAAATCCGAACAACGTCGGTGTGCACAGCCACAGTGTATACGCGCAGCGAGACCGTCGCTTTCGTAATGAATTTCTGTTCAGCCCCGGTAGCCTGAGGTGACCGAGCTCTGGGCGGCAAAGCAATTACGCGATTGAGTCCCGCTTGGTGGGTTGCGGGTATTTTCATCGAATTTAGCCGCCTGCGTTTGCGACGCCGAATCCTCCGTGGGCGACGTGCCGGAGTAGACGTAGACGTGGCTTGCGGATGACGTCATCTCACCGTGCTGGTGGTCGTTCCTACGTGTTCTTGCTGAAAAAAAAAAATACTTTGGTGGTGCAAAATGTCTGCCGCGGAAGGTTCGCGCTCGACGATGGTGTCACCGTAGTGGCCGCTGACGTGATGTCAGTGGAAGCCACGTATACGTATTGCTTTGTTGAAGAGAGGTATTAACCGCTCTCCGAACATACTGCCGCGCTTTGTGAAATGTTGCAGGCGTCACCGCTTGCTTTTATACGTGGTTGCAACGCTTGCGTTCCGAACGGCCACGTAGAAGAACAAAAAATGAAAAAAAAAATAGACAGAAGGAGAGAAAGAAAGTATGTGAGAAAGAGAGAGAGAGTGAGTGTAAAAGAGAAAGAGAGATGTATACGGAATTATAAATGCTTGGCACTAATAGCTCTACGTTCGCCGTGTGGTGCGAAAGAAATAGAAAAAAAAAATACTTTCTAGAATAAGAATAGACATTTTACTTGCCAAATCAACGAAGGGCATCTGGCACGTTCCAGCGGAGAACTGAGGATTAATTTTGACAACGTCAGGATCTTTTGAAGTACAACAAAAATCTCGATTACACGGCATCTTGTCCGCGATAAACCTCCGTCAGAATGCGGGAACCTCGGCCGGGATAAAATTTTTTAGAATAGCAGAGTCGTCTTAGAACACATGTACTATTATGTGTCAATATAGAAAAACACTGTATATATCTGTTATTAAAGTCTAGACATGATACTAAACTAGATGATGGTTTGCGTCGAACACCTTGTGTTCCTTTTGTTGCAAGTTGCAAGCGGTAAAGGACGTTTGTAGTCCAAATGATCGATGATATTGAAATATTTCGGTGCTTCGTAAGACACAGCTTTAAAAACATTTGGATTGGGATTAGAGTTTGCTTGATAGGCTTAAACACTAACGAAGGGCCAGGCGCAATGCCGTAGATGCTGCATAAAGTCCACAGTGACAGGAGACGACTTTATACGTGTAAAGTACGTCGTTTGTATATCATTCAGGTCACTGTCCACCAGGCAAATCTGAAAGTGACGTAGAAGTAGGATGGGATTCATTGCGCTCTGATCCCAGTTTTATCCCCGATTCGACGACGTTTTGAACACATAGTATATATTTGAAATAGCGCGCACGCGCAATGTTTTAAAGGTGTAACTGAATCTCATGTTTCACCCAGGCGTTCTCAAACATGCGCACGAGGGCCTTTCATGAAGGTAGTGGAAATCTGGTTATTCAAAACTATCATATTATTTTTTATCACCCTATTACTCACTTTTTTTTTCACAACATACGTTATGCGAAAAAATAGTCAGAGTGCCGGCGAGCTGGTGTAAGTTGAACATGATTGTAAACCTGAGACTGAGGCAGAAAAGAGAACACAACAGAAGGTAGAAAAAGAGGACGCAACATTTCAAAATGTTATGCCTCTTTGAGAACATGGCATGCGACAGGCACGCTGGCATATTCGTAAATACCTGCCTTGAGGGCCAGGTGCACGCGCGACAGGACATCCAGTACGGCGCGTGAGAAATCACTAGACCGCAGCTGTTCAAAAGGGGCACCGGAATACTTGGTTGTCACGATCCCTGATAACTCCGTTCCGACGTGCCGTGCAAAGGGTCGGCCGTTTCGTCGTGCATATGTCCGCACGACGACACGGCAGGCAGCTGGCTTTGTGGATTTCGATAATTGACACAAGATGTAATCAATGCAAAGCTACTAAGGTGTGCTGGGCGCATCATACGCAGGTCAACCGTCCATTGGCGATGAAGAAGGAGGGCATCCAGACTCGCAAACGGAAGCCGAAGAACTCCAGCCAGGACGGAAAGTCGTCCAAGAGCTCGAGCAAGATGGCAGCGGCCGCAGCCGCCACGGCTGCCCACGAGGCCATGCAGGACAATAAGAGACTCATTCCCATGTACGCTCCCATGGTCACCGGGGATCCCAACATGGCCTATGGCATGCAGGTTCGCAGGGCCAGTCCCGGTGAGTAGCCCTAGGTCAAGAACTCCTCTCAGTTTGGGAGTTCAATAGATCCCCCATATACACAGTTCACCTTTAATTTGACAGTGTAGTGGGAACAACGCCCTCGTCGCACAAATCAACTGCTTCGTTTTCATCGCCTAACCCCGCTGTTTACGCCTGGGGTATAGGGCGGCCGCGTGATCACGTGGCGAAAGATAGACGGCTGGCTGCTCCAATAAGCGCATAGCTTCCGCCGCACTGTAACCTTAGGGGTGAACGGGAAATAGGCACTGTTTTTTGTGATTCATGGGAAAATTGCTGAACCGCGAGAACGGATATTTTATTATATTAATTTCAAGGTGCGTATACGATTCCAAAAAAAATCTTTTTGACACTTGTTTCCTCCAAGTCTTGTTTGGCTCCTCCAAGTGCCACTCGGTTCCTCTAAATGTCACTCCTTTCCTCCAAGTGTCACTCCTTTCCTCCAAGTGTCTCGGTTCTTCCAAGTGTTACTTGGTGCACCAAATGTTACTTGGTACACTAAGTGTCACTTGGTTCGTGCTAGTGTCTGAGAAACAGCAATCCGCAGACCAAAAACACTATAAAATATATTTAACACCGAACTATATTATTGCCATATTCCAACCAGGAGACATTGCGGAAGCAGCGTAAGAATGTAATAAGCCGTCCGCGCCTCTGCTTCTTGAGAAGAGCTCTGCGCCAAGGATGCACTGCACAGTTATGTCAGAAAGGAGATGTGAATGCACTCGAAAACGTCGAATCAGCTGTGGTTGCTGAGAGAGTGTGTAGCCACTTCGGTCATTCATTCCACGGGATCCTGGGCGATCAACTTGAAAACATGAGGCATACATTACAAGGTGGAAAGAAAGCAAGAAAGAGAGTACACAATAAAAAGTACAAAACTAACGAAATAATTACCCAAACTCACTCCCATACAATTCCTGTTAATATCAAAATCGACTTCAAATTTGAGCCAAGTTTTCGGTCCCCTCACTGTTTGCCAAGAGGGATCGGTGGCCGAGTGGGCTAACACTTCTCAGTTCGGAGCGTGGAGCGAAAGCCTGCGCTGCAGAACCTCCTAGGTTCGATCCCCACTCCCTTCCCTTTTACATCTGGATGAGTTTCGTACCGGCACGTGTTTGCATAATCACTACTGCGTGGACCCCAGGTTATCGGTTGTACTGCACTGGCTAAATTTCTCATCTAAAGCTAAGAGACAAGTCACCCGTAGAGGCGCACTAGCATCAAGGCCGTCTAAACGTACAAGCAACACATTTTTTCGGCCTGCAGAGCGGACTCGACGGTTGTGCAGAGGAAACTGCGAATAAAGGTATAAGACCTAAGTGAAAAATCAAAAACGAAATGAAAGAAGCAGGGTTCGGTTTCATGTCTACCTGCACACTTCTCTCAACATTTCGAATGACCTAGAAATCTTTTGTACAGGTATGAAGCCCTCGTGTCTTGCATCAATTGCGCTTCTTCTTCACAGATAAGAGCATGGCCTGTTCCTCCGGCGGCCTTCCTGCCTACACGCCGACGGCAGTCATCAAGAACGAGATGTCCATGTCTCCGTCCCCGGGCATGGGCGTGGACATGCTGGGCGACTCGCACAGCCCGCGCTCCCTCTCCTCGCCTATCGCCCCTTCTTCGGCGGCGCTCAACAAGCATCTTCACGGCCTCCGCATGAGCCCCCTGGACGGGCCTACCGGCGGCAGCCAGCTCATCATGACCAGTGACGGCCAGGCCAGCATGTACCCGTCTGTGACCAGCGTGCTGGTGCAAGTCGAACACGGCAAGCTCCAGCAGAGCGGACCGTCAACCATCATCCAGCATCATCACTCCTCTTGAGCCGCGCCTGGAAAAAGCAGTTCGCTTCCTCTCACCTTATACGTTCGCGGGATCGTCCGAGGATTCCACGCCGATGTACCTGGATCGTGCAAGCGTGCAATGAAGGAACCTTTCGGGTTTCCACCACAGTCACGCCACCCCAGTGTCTCCTAGAACAGACTCTTGGGTGCAGAATTTTGTGATGGCACGAAATGAGCCAAGCTTGCGCGGCATTCATCGAGCTGGGTTGACAACGAGAAGCGTCGAGTAATTGTTCTGTTTTAAACTTGGTATCACTAGTGCCATCACGGTGGTCAACACAAAGGTCGTTGTGCCCTCTAGGAGGCACTGGCCAAGCACGCAGCTGCTGCGATGTGTGTGAGCTGTGCAATGGCACGACGAAAAGCTAACAACGTTAACGACGGACTGTGTTTCCTCACACAAACGGAGCGGCTGGAACAGAATGGGGCCAAAGTATCTACCACTGTGTCGATTGTGAGAAAAGGGGATGGCACTCGTTACGTGTACCGCATGGTTTCTGTGCAAAACTGTGTTGAACACCAAGTTCCCCGAGAGGTCTTGGCTAGATTTTCGTTACCCTCACTGGGCTACTCTCGCGTCTGGAAAAGCGTGACGCAGCGTTGGAAGACATCGCGCGTGCCTATAGTCACAGACTTTTGGTTCTAATAGGGAGGTATTCAACCTAACAATGATTGCTATACGCATAGTTGGCCAATGCCTAGATCGCAAAGCGATCAAAGGGGACAAAATTCTGTATTTCTACATTTGGACAGCGATTGTAGATTAGCAGTTCAGCTGTAAGGTATACCAGGGTGTCGTCAAGTTGAGGCTCGATCCTTAGTTCGCGATTGCTTTTACTTCTTGGCAACTGGTGCTGATTTAAGGTTGTGAACAGTTTAAGCAAACAGTGACGTGGCATAGCTATGTCTCATGCCTCGCCGCATGGCTGGTTCTGGTTTTTCCCATCGACTGATGCACTAAAGTCGTCATGAGCTTACTATAGGGCTCTAGTAAAGCAGGCAAGATCCACTACGCTCAACTATATATATATATATATTTTTAATCTGCCGTCTCTGCGAGCTTCCAACGCTGCATCCCTCAATAATTTCTTTATGTTTCACAACTGTGGTTATTAGAGCCTAAGAACGACTGACCGTGGCTAATAGAACGGCAATTGCCACTTTACGATTCGCTCCCTATTTTTCTTATTGGGTGATGCAGTAACGTCCTTGAATGTCAAATGCAAGTATCAGGCTTGTCCACATCCTGTAATTCTAAACTCCCAGTGACTGTGCGGAGAGCAAGTCGTCTGCTTCTTCAGCAGGTATTGCGGTGTTGTCATAACAACGCCGAGCGAGGATAATAGGTAGACCTCAATGCTATTTTCCGAAGGTCTACCCGTTATTTTATTTTTTTCATTCAGCCAATAAGAGTTCGGCGTTTTGACATCATCGCAACCCCTGTGCAAGAAGCAGACAAAATTGTGCTCCGCATACAGGGCGGACCATAGAGAACCTTTTGTTTGTTCGTGCCGTTCTTTTTGTCTTGTTGTTCATAGGTCACACTCGTGTAGATAAGCAGGCGCATATTTCATCTTTTGTGGGCTCAGGGTGACCTCTGCTGAGCAACAGTCAAATCAGCGAGATATCCTTGGTGTGTGAACTTGACGCGCGTGCGCTGATGGAATGTGAGCACTTGTATGCTGTGACGTACGCTTCACGTCATAATTAGGTATAATTATCTGCCTCAACACACGAAGCGTCTGTAAAGTAAAAAAAATTTCGAAAACATAACGTCGGCAATCGTGTGTTGAATAATTTGTCGTCGTCTACTCACTAGCACTTGGAACAGTGCGAAATGCAATACAACGACGGAGGAATTTCTAAGTATTACTTGCGTTTCCTTTTGAAACTCATCGTTTGCAACCTTTTGATCGCGAGAAATTTGGTGATTTCTTCGTGCTTTAGTTGCTAAAGAGCTGACGTACCAGGAAGTTTACGTCGTAGCCATGGCCATAAGCACGAGAAGTGACGGCATCGGTTGACCGTATTTTGCCGACTACTGTCAAAATCGACTTTTCTTCACATTGGTTCTGAATGATTTCGTCTCCTACGTCTTACGTGTCTGTACAAATCTGTAATATAGCGACAAACCGTATGCCTTAAATTTGTGAAGTGAAATAAACAAAATTGAGGTTTGGACTTCTGCTCCATTTGGTCGTCTTGACGAGCTCGTGCAGCCTGGCGGTTACTCGGCCGAACGCAGAGTAAAAGCAGAACGCAACGTAAAAGGGTTCAGGTTGGTTCGCACACTTGCGTTCGGTTGCACAACTGAGTGCGTTGTGCAGCCGTGTACACTTTCTTTGTATCGCTTACGAGACATCACACTGTCGCCATCTATCGTGTAGGCCTGAAACATTTAAAATTGGCGTATATATATTTTGCAGTTTTATACGCGTAATTCTGTCACTGTGGGCCTGAAATAATTCTAGTAATGCTATAGGCGACCATTTTTCATAGATGGTGTACAAATTTGAGCTCGCGAATACTGCAAAAATCTCTGTTCATCTATATAAATAGGAAGCATACCAGGGTTGCCTGGTTGACGACGCCAGTGAGCCAATGTGTTTTCTCGTCGTAAGCGATTGCAAACGGGCAACACTGCGATTGCACGTTGCAACAACAATAACAAAAAAAATCTTTGACATTTGGATTAGACACTCGGCCGTCGCGTGGTGTAATGCGGTGTTTGAGGCAGCACTTCCTTAATGTTGGCGGTAATACAATTATCAATATTCAAATAATAGGTACATGTTATTCAATAGTAAACAACATTTTACGTAAAATAACTTTAAAAAAATTACACGATGTGCGAAGTGTTTTTTTGCTTCTAAACTATACTTGGCATGATTATGTTAGTGCTGCATAGAGCCGATTGCTTGATTTTTCTTATATTAGGGGGTGTTTCAAATGCATTGCAACATTAAGAAACACTTTTTTTCCAAGCAGTTTTAAAATACAAAACAGACGTCTTTTTCACAAATTACCGGGAAAAAAACAACCTTAGGCAAATGCAATTTTAAGTTTATGTTATTTAGTTTGATTCATTTGTCATGATCACGAGAGGTATTTTCTTCTAAATGTCAACAGGATTATTATGTGGACTACCCTGACCGTACAAGATAACGCCGGAGGTGAGCTGAAATTTACATCTTGTGAGCCGCAAGATGAAATAACGTTTAAGCTCCCAGAGCACACCACAACCCCAGACATGATTCGACTGGTTTCCGAAAAATCTCGGATGGACGTTTATGCCATCCTTCAGAAACGAACAGGCAAGGTTATCGTAAAGGCAGCAGACTTCCGGACCTTGTTCCGAGGTCCATGGGAGCGAGCAAAGTTAATTTCCGAAGCGACACCGCTATTATTTGGAAGCGTTCAGCATATAGTTGTTGCAGACCCCGAGGATCCTAACTACCACATTTGCCACATTCTACTGGCACAGCAACGACACATAATGCTGAACCAATAATGGATTAAAGCCATCGTTGAACTTTTGAGAAGACGAGAATCTCTGCACATTTGGATATTGATACCAGACCAGTTTGATGGCCAGTCGAGTCAAAGAATTTTGAAACCTGAATATTATTTTATGAATATGCGTGTGAGAAAAATAATTAGAGTTTGAGCGATAAGAAAGTAGAAAAGAAATAGGCGACTTTTTTCACTCTAATGGCAATAAATGTTATAAACTGTACCTGACTGACTATCTCAGAAACTCCTGTTCCCTGGGAACAGCGGAAAGGGATTTTTCGGTCTGTATTCTAGGAGAACCTAGTGAGGAGGGAGAAAGCCATATTCTACAGATACAAAAAAGGAACCGTTATGGAATATTTTTCTTCAAAAAACGACGGTTGCTTCAAAGGGCAGGCCACTCCTTACCAGACTCGTCGGTAGCTTCACTAGTGACACACGAACATTCCAAAGAACTGCAACAACATATTTAAGTGAAACTGTCCAACGCAGTTGATAGTCTCTTGTGGTGTTTTTTTTACAAAATAGCTCTGCTTAGACACAGGGTCGTATTAAAAAATATAGAAGCCCTGGCCTAATAAGCACCTCCCCCCCCCCCCCCCCCCTCGGTCTCTGGCACACTACTAGAATATATAGTTATTGTAAAGAAAGTAAGAAAATTGTGTCGAAAATTATCCAGCAATATCGACACGGAGTACTGATTTTCGACACCGTTTTCATGTGCATGTACATCTTTAACTCCTCTCTTTCAATCAGAGAGGTCGTGCATGGTGAAGGAGGTCGGGCAGCTCAGAATCAAAAATAGTTTGCACTTGAAAGAGTAAACGAAGCCCCAAACTTCGAATAGTTTTACAAGTGGTGCTCGTGTGCTTCCCCATGTCAAGTCTGTCACGCATAAAGCGTTTCTCACTTTGTACTGCCTTTGGGACACGAAAACGTTTCCGCCCTACACTGAAAATACATTGACCTTTTCACAAGGCGTTCATCCCAAAATCTGGCAGTCATAGCAGCTGGTCACTTAGATGGATCACTCCGAAGAATCATGCTGCTGGCGAGTCTGTCGCCACTTTTCGTCCAGATATGAAGGCAGCTGGTCAGTCTTCCAGAGGCACACGTCGTGGGTGGGAGGATGAGTACACGAACTCCGAGGGAACAAGTGAGGGAACACTTGGGTTGATGTTTTTAGGCAACTCAACAAATAAGCTTACGCCAGACGGCTGTGCTCATTGTTGCCTCACATTTTTGCTCTTCCCACATAAATAAAATCACAGCTGAAAAAAAGAAGAAGAAAAAAACAAAAACGCTAGCCTAGTTAGACGTAGAATGCAGGGTATATATCACTGCGTTTTCCCTGTGTATCCGCTCGCCTTCATCCCAGTAAAGCCAGTGAGGGGCCAGGGGGTGGATCCCTGTGTTCCATCCTACCATTATAACTAGCATGACGCTCGATGAATCAATTGGGCCTCAAGAATACTTGCCGTATGGGGAAGACTGCCTAAAGACTTCCTTGAAGTCATCTGTTTTTAATTAAAAAGCGAATTCTATGTACACTGAGAATGAAAGCCGCATGTGCTTTCTTGTGAATCGTGGCATGTTTTTCTGCATCGGGAGAAGGGTGGATTTTTTTAGTTTACATCTGGTTCTAACTCGAAAAAAATAATCAATCAGAGTACCTTGTGGCAAAGGCATGAGGTACTCCAAGGCGCACCGAAAGACGAAGCGGTCAGAAAAAAATTAGAGTGCTCCAAGCAGCGTCACCGACGTTTTCTTTTATCAAAGTGAAGATCTGGTCTGAAAAGCCTTTGCAGTAACAATACAAGCCCGACAATTACGGGCACCCAACAAACCCGCCAGTGGTTGCGTTTTTCGAAGAGCGCCTCGCGAGCTTTCCTTTTAGCGGGGCCCGCTCAGATGAGAGGATAACAAGGGACTGTTCCTGGAGGCACTCTAGCACGGTGGTATAGCCTCTCCTTTCTCGAAGCGGAAGGGAAGCTGCTGTGACTGTATCCAGGTGCTTACAGAAAACCACGAAAAGCTTCGATACAATTCGTCAGAAAACCCACAACGCTCACTTGAAACGTTACGTCACACGTGAAACGAAAGTGATAAAAAACATGGCATGTAGTGGGTATTAAACGTTGCCGCATGGCTCAAATGATTTCACTCTATAACGCAGTAGTTCTCAACCATCGATGTTTCGCGGATCCCTTGTGGATCGGCGAAGATTGTGGAGGACCCCGTTCGTGGTGAGAGGAGAGGAATGGTATAGGTTAAAAATTATTATTTAATAAATGACTACAGCTAAGGGGTACTTTGCAGTAGATAAGAAATTTCAATAAGAACTTTCTTATTGACGTACACACGAAAAAACCCGCCCGAAAACTGAAACATGTCATCTCGACCTGAAAAAAGACAACTTATATTGCCCGACTTGACTGAAGAGGAAGGGCTTCGCGGACCCCCATTTGAGAACCGCTGCTATAACGTATTTAATTTGCCTTAAAAAATGTGAAGAAATTTAGGCGGGGTTCAACCCTCTTCGGTTGAATGACGGACACTCAGGAGATGACACTGCTGTCTATTGTGTAAGGGAACACAAGTGATACTCGCTTTCTAGTCAGGGAAATTATTTTTGTCTTTCGCTCATTAAGCAAAATATGGCTAATCAAACACCACCTTGAAATTGCCAACGCGTCATCCTGAAGAAGTTTGCAGTCCGAGTACGAACGAACACAGCGAAACAGTTTGATGTCATGGGCAAATAGTAGTACTTTAGAGATTTTCACGCTATGAGAGATGTTGTTCACAAAAATCAAGAATAAAAGTGCACCAATTCTGCTTCCTTGGGGCACTTCCGAAGGCGACAAAAATTTATCAAATATGAGCCCTGGGCCCCTGATACAGGAACATACTTTTTTCTACATGAGAGATAACTTTTAGTCAAACTACAGTACGTTGGACACAAACCATAACTATCTAGTTTGGTAAGAAGAGTATTGCGATCAACCTTATCGAATGCCTTCGTCATATCAAAATATATTGCATCGACTTGTGCTTGGTCACGAACAAATGGAACACTATAATCTGAAAAAGAGAACTGATTAGATCGAACCAACTTGCCCTTCAAAAATCAATGTTGCTGGGTGTTTATTTTGAGGCTGAAGTAACTGTACAGATGTGTGTGTAATATGATCTAAACAAATCTCGGGAAAACTACACAACAATGAAACGGGACGGTAGTTGTTTACAACACTAGGGTCACCTGATTTATGAATCGGAACAACTACGGCGCTTTTCCAGATGGACGGAAATATTCCTGAACGAAGTGATAAATTAAATATGTGAGACAGGACAGGAGACAAGCTTCGCGCACCCTTTCACGATAAAACTGGAAATGCCATCTGTACCACAAGACAGTTTAGGTTTCATTTTAAAAATGCTTTCTTTAATTTCAAGTTCGTCAAATGGGGTAAAAGGAAGAAAAGCTAATGTGCCTTTCCACGTCGGGCTGCCGTCAGTTACTGCCGCAGACGAAAAACAGGATTTAAAATGCACTGCAAACTTGTTGGCAATTTTACTTAGATCACATGCGTAACCAAAACATCTCTTATTGGGACCACATTAGGATTTCACTTCTTTGATGGTACATACCTCCAAGAGCTTTTTGG